TCCCGGCTCCTGGCCGGCCACAAGCAGCTTTCAGAGGATTCCAAGCAAGCCAAGAGCAAAACGGAGCAAGCGGAGGGGAGATTCTCCCAGTTACTGAAGTGGGCGCTGGACACAAAGATCTGCGCCCCGGCGGCCCCAGCCTCCAACACCTCAGAGCCCCGCAGTGAGTACGGGGCTCCGGGCCCCATTCACAGCGGGCGAAATGGAAGCCCTGTGCAGGGAAATGGGTTAAGATTAGGGTTGCCAGGTGTCCGGTATTGACCTGGACAGTCCGGTATTTTCGCCCCGTCTGGTAAAAAAATTCAGAAAATACCAGACACCTCAAATGTCCGGGACTTTCTGATTTTTTCCCGACCAGGAGGCGAAAATCCTGAGTGCTTAGCAGGTTCCGCAGAGGAGCTGTCTGGCCCGGAGCAGGGAGACAAGAGGGCAGATGACCACGGGCAGCCTGTTAGGGCCAAACAGCCTCAAAAGCATTTCTTAAAGGGGCCATGCTTTTTTTTTTTTAATATTTTGCTTAATAACTATTTTTTGCTCAACAACTTTGGTCTCTCCCTTTTTTTTCCCCCTCAACAGAATTTTTTCCACCGTGGGTTTTTTTTGGGAGGGGGGGAGGGGTGTCAGTATTTTTGGTTAATCCATCTGGCAACCCTAGTTAAGATGGCGGCTGGTCCCCTGTTCTGATGGGCCTGCAGGGACGGGGGATACGCTGCTGCTGCCTACTGCAGCCATGAAGGGCATGTTCTCCTGCTGTCCTGGGCACAGGCCCAGAGCTGAGAGGGAAGCTCCCCAACCACAGGGACGGGCACAAGGACCCAGCTCAGATGCTGGTTGCTTGCGTCCTGTTCTGAGCCCAACTTGGCTGAGTTTCTCTCTTTCCTCTCCTCCCTCCGCAGACGTCAGCTGCTCCTTCTGCCCCTACCAATGGATTTCAAACAACAGGAGCTGCTATTTCTTCTCTCAGACGGCTCAGTCATGGAACCAGAGCAGGAAGGAGTGCCAGAAGGAAAAGGCTGATCTCGTGGTCATCGTGGATCGGGAGGAGCAGGTGACACGAGTTGCTTACTACTGTGGAGCATCCACGGGGGGACGGGAGGGGGCTTGTGCCTCTTCGCGAGCCCACGCTGGGCCGGATTTTTGAGGAAGTGCCGAGGATCCCTATCGATGGCTCTGGCCTCGGGCATTTCCCCGACCCTTAGCACAGGGCTTGCGTGTCCCTTAGCTCCTGCCCATGAGCTTAGGAGCACGTGCTGCAGCCACTGTCTCCCGGAAGCTGCTGCAGCTGGAGCAGGATTGTTCCCTCCCACTGCCTCTATGGGGGGCTGGGGGGGCAAGGGGTTAAGCCACTTCCAGCCCCAATCTCCCTCCCCCAAATGCAGGGGCCCCCATTGGCCATTCTGCCTTGTGCAGTGCAGGGGCCACGGCCTCACAGGCCCACTGCTAGAAGGCATGGAATGGCCCCAAAGGGGGGATTAGAAGCCCCATCAATCTGCAGACCTATGGGGAGGAGGTTTTCCTGTAGGCCCCAAATCCCAACTGCATTGTTCACCTGGCCCTAGTGCTGAAGGAAGGGACGAGGCCGGGCTCCCCCGGCTCTGCTTTGTGGGGTCCCGTCGGGGGTGAGCTGCTCTAACAAGGCCCCCCAGTGCAGGCCCCATAGGGACGGAGGGAGGGCACGTTCCAGCACCAGGCCACGCCTGAGCAGCTCGGTGGCCTGAGAAGTGAGGCAGCCGGAGGCCGTTGCTGGTGCAAGGCTTGGCCTTGTCCGTACCAGGAACCCCCACGCTCACACCCTTTCCCAGGCTGGTGGAAATGGGAAGGGCGGGGGGGTCATGACCCCCAGGTTAAGACCCCCTGCAACAGAGGAGCTAGTTCTCACTTCCACAATCCCTCCTGTCCCATAACAACTTCTTTCTTACTTACAATGGGGCTAAAATCTCTGGGAACCAAATGCAGGGAGCTCCCTTACCACAAAGGACACCTCCTACCTCACATTGCCCGGGCCGGCTGGGATCTTTTGCCCCTGATGGCAGTGGGCGTTTTGAGGGAAGGGCCCTGTTTGGGCAGGTCAGGGAACAGGTGCAATTTGCAGCTGAGAGCAGAGTGGAGCTGCCCTGTGGAACCATGGACGTCTCTCTGAGTGGGCTGTGCCGACTGCAATCTTCCCCAGGACTTTCTCGCTAAGAAGCAAAATTGGGTGGAATACTGGATTGGCCTGACGGACGCAAAACAAGAAGCCTTATGGACGTGGGTGGATGGTGCCACTCTAAACCCGATGGAGAGGTAAGTGTGAACACTCAGCCGGGCAGCAGCTTGGTAAGAAACATCCACCAGGAGCAAGAGGGAACATGCATTGATGTACCAAGTGGGGGACAAACAGGTTAACAAGTCCCCCTCTCTTCCTCCTGCCCCCCCCTCCACCAGACATGATCATGTGGTCTGACTTGTATAACACCGGCCAGAGAACTGTCCCAGGACAAATCCTGTTTGAATAACAGCAGATCTTTTAGAAAGTCCTTGAATCTTGATTTTAAAAATGGTCAATGATGGAGAATTCACAATGAGCTTTGGTAAATTGTCCCGGGGTTAATTCCCCTCTCTGATAAAGGTGTGCCTTATTTCCAGTCCGCACTTGCTGAATTCCAACTTCCTGACATTTGATCGTGTTCGACCTCTGCTCCCTATTCTGAAGGGCCCATTATCAGATGATATTTGAAGTCCATGTAGGCACTTACCAACTGACCAAGTCACCTCTCAGCCTTTTCTTTGTTGGGAGATCAGTCTATTCAGTTTATCTTTCTGGTGCCTCTTTTCGGATCCTTCTCCTGCCCGTGGATGCCAGAACCGGACACAGCTGCTCCCAAGCCCAAATGCAGGCTGGAGGGAGGCTAGGACTGGCTGTAAAATCCCAAATTAGTTCCATTAAAAATGTCAAGCAACATGATTTCATTGGATTATTTTTATGGAAAATTGAGTGAACATTTGGAAATGAAAATTTGCCCATTTGGAATTTAAAGATGCTCAGT